CAGGCTCTGATGCCACCTGGCCTTAAATGCAATCCATCTTCAATCACTGACTGGCTGGTGATCTGGAACAAGTCCTCTGTCCTGCCTCATATCTTTATCTGTTAAGTGGCGGTAATGATATCACCCTCCTCATAAGGCTGCTGTGGAGGTAAAACAAGTTAATTCAAGTAAAGTATTCACAACAGAGTCTGGGCACACAGTGTGCATAAAATGAATGCCAACTCTGATTATTTTGGAGATAACCATTTGCATTCTTGATATTATATACCTTGGTTTGCTTAAAATAAAAAGGAATTGCAGAGATACTAAGATAAGTAAAATATACTGTCAACTTTCAAGGAATTTATTGTCTCCTAGAGGAAATGTATGAAATGGAGAACAGTCCTAAAAATAAAATTACCTACTTACCAAGTGCTGTGCACCAAGTTATATTTAAATTAGACAGACTTCCAGTAATGCTACATGGAGGCACTGCTTTCTCCACGTCATAGCAGTGGAAACAGGCTCGGGAAGTTCAGGTACAGTAAATAACCAAGTCACCCAACTTGCAGGAATTTGACCCACACCTATCTATGTTCACAGTCTATCCCTTTTCCACTGCACCCTACAACCCAATTCGTTGAATTTATGGTCATGGTTCGGAAATTGGCTGGCCTAGAAAATAACTGGGAACAAAGGGAGGGTAGAAATATGAAAAATTATGTATAGGGACAGATCTGAAAGCAAGAGGAAAAGCAATCTCAAGTAATTGGGTGCAGATTGGAGCAACTGTGCCTGGGCAAGGACAGTGGAGAAAGACGGGCTCCTTCTCTCCCATATCCCTGCACAGTGGGGACAGGTGGATCAGCGCTGTGGGCTCCCGAGACTGGGTGGGCAGGATCTAATCTAACCTGTAAGGTCTTTCATGAGCACCAAAGTGATGAGTGGCAGCATGGTGTTGGCATCTTCCAGCCTAGATTAAACAGTGAGCCAGAAAAGCAATTAAAGCAGAAACAGATGAGGATAATTAGAAGGGAAAGCTCTAAAGGGCAGAATGAGACAGTGAAACTAAAACAAAGAATTGGGCTATTTCTGTCAATCTCTTGATGTCTGAGAAAAACAGTCTTTTTGGTCCAGACTGTGGAAACACACCCTGAGTAAGACAAGCTGTTCTCAGCATCGTCCCCTTGGTTTGGACTCCATGGCATCTCTTGGATGCTGCTGTTGATTTGCCCACATGGGGCAAAGGTTTAGTAGACATCTGCATTTGGAGGATCTGCAGATACCTGAAATTTTACTTCAGCAAAGTTTAACTCATTGTTTTCCTTTAAAAATCTGGCTTTTCTCAGTATTCACCTCTACCATTTAATAGCATCAAAACCATCTAGTTTAACTTAGGTTAAAAACCAAACTGCAGTTTAATAGTAGAATTCTTTCTTCAAGATTTCTACATGAGTTTCTCCTTCAGTATTCAAATCATCAAACAAGTGGATGTTTTGAATGAAGGCAGGTCACTGCTGTCATGGGAGGAAAAGCACAGTGGTGGCCCTCTGAGTCCCTGGGAGCCCTAAGGAATAGGGCTTAAGTGAAAGTCATGGGGTTCTAAGAGTTGGCTTCCATTACTTTCTAACAATCTGGGAAGAACCACAAGAAAAATTTTATTTTGTGAGACAAAAAATCATAAAAATTGGAGATTTTTAGCTTGGATCTAAAACTTCTCAAATAGACAAATGTAAAGGTACTAAAAAATGAAATTGTTTTCCTACTTAGTGCTTGGAGAAGTTAGTCCTAAACAAAAATAGGCTTAACACTTGTGAACACTGGCTAGAAAAAAAGTAAAATCAGAAGAAAACAAATTGGTTTAGTCTTTTCTTTCATTTTCCTATCTCCATTGGTCCTTTGATCTTTAAGATGTGTATCTTTGTTAGAAAGACAGAAGTAAAAATTGCATAATTTGAGTTTTCTGTAAAGCCCTTATACAATGAAAATTTTACTGGTATATCCCCAACATCAGTGCAATATTTATTAATAGTAAATCACTGACATTCTTTTATATAATTTAATGTTCTTAGCAAATGCAATTCAAAAGAGACCCAAACCAAGTGAGCTTATTTATGTATTTTTTCATTCATTCATTCATGCAACTTGCCATGCAACTGTAGACAAGTAATACAAGCTACTCTCAGCTTTAGTTTCCCCTTACACATAGTAGGGGAAATAGTGCTGCCTACTTCATTACATTGATTTGAGAAACAAACTAAACAATTCTGGCACATAGTAAGTACCTAAGTAATATGAATAGTCCAATAATAATTACAATGACAATTCAACCAAGGAACTATCAACTTTAAGACAAGGAATAAGCCCCTAAAACCTTTTCTACTTCAACCATTGCAAACAGGAATAGTGACAGAATATCTACGAGGCATCCTTAATAATAATAAAAAAAGTTTAGAGTTCAACTTCCCTGTCTTAGGTCTATTTTCTTCTATTCGTTTAAATCAAAGTCCTGCAGGAACATCATCACCTAAATGCAAATGGAAACAACAGCTCCCTATACCATTCCCTCTTCACCCAAATTCTGCTTCTAGAAGTAGTCCTTTTAATTTAACTCTTTTAGTTACATCTTCTGGTGTTTCTAAATACAGTGATATTTTAATTTCTTTCCTTGTATAGTATTTAGTATTATAACACATTCTCTGATTTCCATAAATCAGCCTTGGAGCCAGCTGACCAAATAATGAACATGTTGAAACAGTAATTCAGAATAAATCTCTCCCCTTTAAGTTCTAAGTGTTTGGTATTGTGTTCCAGTGACAAGAAAGTGACTGAGATCAGCTCCTAAATAAATACTTTTGGATAAATCCTTGTTCTAATACTAATTTTGCCATTTGGGCAGTAGTTATGCACCATATATCTCTAAATTTGCCAAGTTTTACTTCTTCACATTAGCTTCTTCATGATAAATCAATATGGCCTATTAACTCACAGATAGCAAAGAAGCATCTTCCTTGGAACTCTGTTAAAAATATTTGCACCCTGACTACAAGAATGAGAAATACTATGTAAGCAACAGGTGTGGTGAACTATTCTTGTATAATGCAGTTCTTCATGCTTTGGCTGCCAGGAGCACAGACTTGGAAGCCAACCTCTGACTGCAGACACTCATTGGCACACATCAGCTCTGAGAAATGAAGACTTACGGCTGTAAGCAGAGGTACAGCTGAGCCCACAGGAAACATCTAACTTGCAATCAGTCTCCTCCTTGCTGTGGTCTGGCAAGACAGGTGATACCTGTCTTCATGAATTTTTGTGCAAGGGATTCATTTCTGTTTCAAACCAAACTCACAAGCTTTTATTGACCAGTTGGAAACATGGGAAATGTCTCTTGTGCTTTTATTTGTTTTTATAATAGCAGAAGACCATGGTGGCCACTGCTCTTTGTTTATCTGACAGCGTTTTTCATGTAAAAAGTTATTCACTTTCAAAGTAGTTTCAGAATCTGTATCTTATTAGTCTTCCAACCATCTTGTATAGTGGTTAGTACAAATGGTTTAGAGTCCTAGGGCAAATGGATAGGACAGCCTGGCACATTAGGCAATGTACTTACTCTAAATCATGGAAAAGGGAATAAATGAACAATAATGAGCTCCTGCTGAACTTGAGTGAAAAAAATCATATTATGTGTGAGATCATAATGATCTTTATTTGCTAGCATGCAAGTATTTGGTTTGGTCGCCAGTCTACACATCCTTGAACTCTTCACCAGCAGTCTAGACAGTGTAGACAATGGGACAAACAGGATGTGTTTTATGCTGCATTTGGAATCATTTTTGAAATAGAAAAACCTTAAACATATGAAAGCAAATAAATCAATACCACCATACATTTTTAAAAGCTGAATACTGCATAGAACTAATAATCTCACAATTGACAACAAAAGAATAAGCACAAATGTGAAAAAGATGACAAAAGCCAACGTCTTAGTAGGATTTAACAAATAACAACAGTCAATGCAAAATGGCTTATTTTCTTAAAATAATGCCAGTTTGGACTTTGATTTTAGAAATTAAGGTCAAAATATTGTAATATTTGCTTTAAAAAAGCAGCAAAAATACTGTCAATGCAAAATGGTTTATTTTGTTAAAATACTGCCAGTTTGGATTTTGATGACTATTTAGAAGTTAAGGTCATAATATTGTAATGTTTGCTAAAAAAGCAGCTAGAATACTTAATTTTGTGGATTAAAAATGCAAATGCATATAAGAAGCAATAATACTTGTCAAGATACTGTTTTAGAATTATTTTTGCCATTTTTTATGCTTTGATTTTGTAACTTGAACAACCTAAGATGACAATATGTAATGTAACTAGCGATTTCTTAGTGTTAATTTTTTAAAATTCTGTATTACTCTACTTTTTTCTATTTTGTTTTTTCTTTCTTTAAATAAATAAAAAAATTAATTTTGACTTTAGAGAAGCCAGAAATCATAAAGAAAAAGTAGATAAATGGATAAACATTATAGATTTTTATATTCCAAAGAACACTCATACCAAATAACAAATTTATAGAAATTTCATATTTGCATCATATAGGACAATAATATACTTGAGATATGAAATCATTTATAAATTTATAAAGAATAAGTATATCCCAGTAGTAAGGTGAACAAAGACCTTAAAGAAGCAATTCACTGAAGAAACATATATGCCCAATAAATTTATTATTAGCTATTTTCTCTCACTACTAACCAAATGAATGAAAGTTTCAATGATATGTATTTCACACATTAAATTTGCAACTATTAAGAGGATTGAAAATATCCTGTGCTCATAAAGTTGGGAGAAAATGGAAAAGTTCATTGATAACAAATTAATACAGTTTTTTTTTCAAACACTAATTTCAGAAAACAGATTCCACAGGTTTTAGATGCACTTCTTTGCTCATTCCATTACTAGGAATTTTGTTTAAAACCAAACAAGTAAACTAAGAAAGAAATACATCAATATTCAAAACAATATCATGTATAATGCATTTATTGTCAAGTAAACGGAACTACCTATTGTAGTTAACCATACAACATTTATGCAGTCATTAAAATGATTTTTCATATTTACATTCATTTTTACAAAATATAATCTCTTATTACACAAAATTCTCAGTATTACCAAAGCAGCAGAAAAATAAAAATGCTCCCAGCAATACTCCTAAACCCTAGAAATGTCCTATTAACAGATAGGCAATTATCTTTCGAAAAAAATTACACACATATATAAATACTCATAATGGCATCAATACAGATGCATTAATATAAATGAGAACATATTTTATACTATGCTTTGTAATTTGTTTTTCACTTAAAACAGTTTGGACATCTTTCTCTGAGTGATGGATAGATGGCCAGTGGTATAGAAAAATGTTTATATCGTATGAGATGCATAAAATAAAGATAGTTTGCAAAACTGCATTGGAGCAGTGACTTTTTTTTTTTTTGGTTGTTTTCTTTTTTTTTTTTAATTTTATTTAAGGAGAAAAGAAAAAAAAGCAGAGAAAGGGTACAAGTTATACAGATTTACAGAAAAAAAAATGAACAGTAGGAAATCACTAGTTAATGGATTACATATTGTCATCTTAGAAATAATTGTTCAAGTCACAAAATTAAAGCTTGTAAAGTGGACATTCCATCAATGATACTGCAAACAGTTCTGTTCAATGATCCAATAAAACTCTGTGATATCATTTTCTATCTTATACACTTAAATATACATGCAGTTATATAGTTTAGAGCACTTTCTTTTCCTCTCTTTTGTACAATGACTATTACACATTTTGGGTTTCATTGCTCCCACGGTTCTTATTACTTTTTTGGAAGAGAGTAAAACCAAATGTGACATAACAGAACAGAATCGGTCAAGTCAAAAAGGTGGACATAATAGATAATGTAAAAACATAATACAAGGTGATCAACAATGGTTACCATAATGCCTCCCGCTATCTCTAATAGAATTGCCTATATCGTTAGTTATAATACAATTGAACAAAACAGTAAAGAATAAAACCGACAAAACCAAAACATTGGAGACATTGTAGATCTTCAAAAGTAGATAAAAGTCAACGAGAATGGGCGTCATAATGAATCTCATTATCTTCACAGCTGATGCCTAAACTTTCGAACCTGATACTATCCAGCAAAACAGAATAGGGAGCAGTGACTTTTGAGAGATGGGCAAAGGGGATTATCATTCACTCTTCTCTCTTCCTGTCAAGAATTCTATCTGCCTTTGTAGAAGTCTTATTGGAGTAAAAGAGGAAAAACAACAGTTTAAGGATAACCTGCAAATGCTTCCAAGTCAACTCTCCTATCCCCTTCTTTTTACCCAGGCTATGTTTTGATTGAGAATCATAGCTATATATTGCTTTTAGGAAAACTGGAGTGAGAGGAATATTAAAAACCTTGAATTATTTTCAGATAAATTTTATTTTTATAGGTTTTTGGATTTTTATTGACTAGATTTTTTTTATTAATGAAAACATTGTTTTCATTGTAAAATCAGTTAAGCAAGAAATTTAAAGTCCTTGAAAACTGTGGTTAGAGAAATCAGGTGACAGCAGCCCAGTATGTAGCCACAATCAAAACAAGCTAAAAAAGTTCATAACAATGGCTATCTTTTGTACTAGACCATAATTATATGCTTTAACACAAGAAGCTAGATAGTCAAGTTCATGGCATGAATAACTAAAAAAAAACAGGAAGAAACTTAAGCATCAACAAATGGAAAATAATGGCTAGGGGTCCAAAAACCCATATTTTAAAACCATGAACTATATTGATAATCTTATTAAAATGGAAGCATTTCTATTAAGTTCATTAAACGGAAATTTAGAAGAAAATATATATCTTTATCGGGTGGATTGAAAACTTGAAACTCAGTATCAGAAAAAAATGAGATTGTATATCAATGGGTAGAAGAACAGATACTACACATGATCTTTGTCAAAAGGACAAGAAACAATCATCAATGAGTAGAAGTAATAATTCCTGCATAATAAAATTAATACTGGATTATTAAGGAAAGAGAGAATTTGGGAGCATTTTAGTTTGACATTAGAAAATTTAACCACAAATTTCCCCATAAAACATCTTGCACTACTCCTGCCAGAGACAAAGACCTGAGCTGAATGAATCTGGGTTTGACCAAAATGGTCAGTCTTTTTGTTTTGTTTTTTTCCATTACAAATTCCAAATTGATGAAAAATAATATAATGATAGCTTATCCATTGCTATTAGCACTCAAAATTGTAATTTAAGGATTTAAGTGGAAATATTAGTGGAATAGCTTTTTATAGGTTTCCTAAGATTCAAAAATAACACAAAAGGCAATGTTACTTTTTTTTTTTTTTTATTTTCTATGCATTTAGTGTTCAAGTTAGACTTGTGGTTTGACTGAATTGGGTTGTATTTTGCCTATTATTTCTTGTTTCTGGAGTTGGTAATATCATCCTTCTCCCTATATAAAGAAAAATTATTAGGGAAGATAGGAGCAATCATTATAGGTAAAAAGGGAGAAAACACAGGGATGGGGCCAGGAAAGAAAGAACAGTTTAAAATATGTTGAAGAGAGAAATAATTTGAGTCTGACCAGATCTGTGCTTTTTATTTCTATTTTTTGACATAACACTATCAGTTGTCAAAAAATAAAAAAGAATGGAAATTTTAGATGGAAATTTCTTTTGCAAACAGATCTTAATCTACAGTTTTATTGTTACTTTTTATCCTTTTCTCAACCAAGAATTAGTAGAAATCTTCTTCCTGAAAACTGTATCCATCGTTACAATGATCCACTATTGGATTGTTTCAGTTCATAATTCTTTGTCCCAATACTTGCCAGAATTGCAATAAGTCATTGTTTTGCTAATATGCTTCTTTCCTTGTTCCTTTCTTGCACAAATACACAAATATATTTTCTATTTAAAAGTTCACCTGATCTAGGATCTGTTCCCCCACAATCTCCACCCCTGTTGAAGTCATGAGTTTCTGAATATGACCTCGGAGTCTAGACTTACTGTCGAGGTGTTTATTGTCACGTACTGGATCTTATAAAATAGGCTATGTGCGTGTAGACGCAGGCCTGCTAGAGGATTTTGCAAGACAGATGGTGACGCAAACATAACCATCTACATTCTGTTCACTAGGCAGAACTGACCCTACAGACTGTATGATTGGTTACGCTTTTCTAAATATTTCTAGTGGAAGAATTAACAACTTGAGAGAGCCAGACTTAATTGCTCTTATTTCATCAGTAACAGCAGGCCAAAGTTTCTCCTTTAAATTAGATCAGATACTTTTCTTTAGTTGGTTTTGTTGTTATAAAGGTGTTAGGTTTTCAAAATGTTGCTTTCTTATGCAGCTCTTTCTTCTTTGAAAGTTAGCTTTTAAGGGGTTTAAGAAAATGGTTGCATGGTATTACATACAGTCCAAACGGCACGGGAAGGGTACCAAACACCACCAACTTTTAATTCATTTAAACACTGACAGACATTGACAGTATATGATGGTATAAGAATAAAACACTGAAGAAAAGATGAATAAAACAGGCTTCCCATGTTTAGGACCTCAAGAATTAATTGAGATTCCCTCAGGTTAAAAATCATCACACACAGCAAGAACAGTGCTGATGGAGAGGCATCCTTCATGTGCACGATTGAGAATATTCATAAGAGGCTCTTTATAGGGTGTGATGTTTATGATACCTTCAAAGACTGAGCTGGAATTTGCAAAGCACACAAGAGGGAAACATTCCAAGCAAAAACGTGAAGATCTGAAACAGCATGGTATATTTGAGACCCTTAGATTGTGAAAATAAGTGTGCTATGGCAGCGGAGATTAATTCTAATTAGTAGGAAGGAGCTAAATCTTGAAGTGTCATTTATGATCATCAGTAAAAAGAGTTGCTGCCTTTCCTCACGGATGATGAAAGTCACTGAAAGGTGTTTAGCAGAGATGTTGTATGACTAGTTTTATGTGTTAGTTACCAGAAGCAAAAGCGTAGACTACAGATCTAAGAACAAAGAAAGGTGAGATAGCCTTCAGGCAGGGAAAACTGGTAGGGAGCTACTGCAATCACACAAATGAGAAATGGCGAGACTGGGAAGTTGTAGTCATGGGGTGGGTTTCCTGTGCATCCATAGACTCATCTAAGTGTAATGACTATTTGAATAAGTGAGTAACGAAGAGGAAATGATTCTGAACATTCTGACTAGGATATTAAGGCACAATTAAATGAAGAGAAGTAGAACTGAAAAGAAAATGAAAGGACATTTGTTTTGAGGCATGGTTAGTTCAAGGTGTATGTGATGTATCTCTCAGGATGTTCACCTATTAGGAAACTAGAAGTACAAGTCTGAAATTCAAGAGCAGAGTCTGTGCCAAAAGGTGAAGAGATGTGAATACATGGCACTTGGTATTGTAGATACGGAAAAGCAGCCCTTGGGGAGTTTATCAGGGGAATGGCAGGCACAAGGACCGAAGTTTGGAGGAAAACCAGGGTGTGAAATAACTTAAGACAGAAAAGAAGCTAAAGAAGGAAAAAGAGATAGATCAAGGAAATAGAAGTGGAAGATAAACCAATAGCCTCATAAAGAAAAACATTTCAAGAGTATTTGAAAAATATTTGAATTATGTTCAAACTAAATTGAGACAATACTTATTAAGCCAAAGAGATACTAGGTATTTGCCATCCACAGTTCATTGGCTCTAAGTTCTTGAGCTTGAGCTTTAGGAGAAAAGCTAATGATATCTGTATAATAATAAGTCTTGACTAAAGACATGAAGTCAAAGCTGTTTTACTCGTGTAGGGAGGAGATAACAGTTTGGGTAGGAGTTGTAGTTCTGATGATGGAGAGAAACACAAAAAGAAAAATGGCAGTGAAGAAGAAAAATGTTACACAAGTGCCATACAGAAATAAAAAATTATAAGATTAGTTACATTCTGTTACAGAGGTGGTGAAGTAAATGAAAGCTGGTTTTCACACTGGCAAAGAGCAGTTTCCGTCTTGGTCTTGGGTTGACTGCTGCTGGTGTGCTCATGGCCCTCGCTAGCTGTTTGCTCTACTGCTCGCCAAGGAAGGGGCGGGCAGCCACAGGGGGTCTTCTGTATTTTATTCATTATAGCTTCTTTTATTTGTCATTTTAATGTATTTAATTTACTAAATTATTACAGATGTTCTCTATTACAATGCTAATAAGAAAAATATGAAAAGATGCCCAACTTCTTTTAAGTCTGGTAGAAGTGGAAACATTTTTCCTTCTGCTTGTTCAAATTTCAGTTGATCTTTTTTGAAAATGCTGACTTAAAATGGAAGGTCTACACTAATTTTGAATAGAGAGAAAGGGGAACAAATTTTAAGTGACATTTTGAAGACATCATTGTGCATTCTGCTTTGAGAAGGTTCAAGACACTGAAACTTTGGAAGCCTTATGAAGATTATCACAAAGTGCATTGCTAGTTTTTTCTAGTATCTTCACAACTATTTAAGAACATATTTTAAATATAGGAAATGCTTACAGCATGCTAGCACTTTTTTGTTTTGGAGTATTTGTATAAATGTGAGCCACTTAGACCCAGCTTTTGTGGATGGCTTTTGTGGGAAGTACATTTCATGTTAAACAAAGGGAAATAGTCTCTCCAAATACTGAGTGATGTGTGATTCATATATGTGGATTAGACTACTTGGGAAAAAATGTAACAAAGAAAAGAAACTTTCCTTCTGGGTTGCATGATTTGTATGAATTAAACATGCTGCTGTTAAGGTACAGAAGGCTAGCCTAATGTCATAATCTCCAAGCCCTGAGATGTGTATGGTAACTATGTTAGATTTTCTTTGAACTTGTCTTCTAATGGGAGCCCTGTCACTGTAGAAAGCACTTCATACTTAATTAAGGGGAAGGAAACTCCGAAGTCTAATTTTGAGCAGCTCTAAAGGTTGTCTCTCAGGACATTAAAGCTATTGAATGAGGGTTTTGTGTATATACTAAATTATAACCCAATAAGGCACATAACAATTACAATACAGCATCATGATCTCTTTCTATGTGGAATAACTCTGAACTTACATGTGTACCTCATAATAAATTGTTAGATTCCTGTTTGCTTTGATGTTGTTTTTAAAAATACCTTCGAATCAGGGCTAAATTTAATAATAATAAATATAAGTACTCAAACTAGGAACTTAATTTTTCTTTTTTCTATTTTAGTTGTAGTTTTCCTAGTTATTTTTAGTGCTAAATGACCCCAAAACAATCAACTCATCTGAAACTACAGAGAACAACTGAAATGCAATTAAATGAGAGAATTCATGTAAAAGGAATCTTTGCAAGCATTAGAAAACTTTAAGGTATCATCAAAGCACTACTTCAGCAAAAACAAACGTCTGAAAGACAATTACACATCCTAGTCTACAAAGTGAATTTAAGCCCACCCTGCACTCTATAGTGAAACCCTGTCTCAAAAAGACCAAAAAAAAAAAAAAAAAAAAAAAAAAAGGGGCATTTATAAATTTCTGGAAGATTCTTGCCAAAGGAACAGCAGAATTTCTAGGCATGAGAAGGATCCTTAATTAACTGATTGAATTGTACAAAACAGGACTGACTTTCTGTAACTCAGTATGCTAACACTTAGAACAAAGTACTATATAAATATTATGTCCACTACATAATGTCTCCAGGTAATACTGACTTGATAAAATAACAATTATATAGAGGCAGAGGAAGACAGGTGAGCAGAGAAGGACAGAATAAAAAAGAATCAAGCTATGTTATATATATGTACCTACTCCCTAAGATAAATGTAAACTTCATGCATTGGAAATATATATTAATAGAACAAATATTTAAAAACCAAACTTAATAAAATTTTTAAAATAGGAAAAAAGTTGTACTCCTCCAAGCAATTGCCATTGCTTGACAGAAATGACTTGCATTAGTCATGTATTCATCTTTATTCAGTGCAAATTATATTTACCTATAAAAGAGATATTCTTAGTATCCCCAAATTACCAACTCTGATGTTTCCAAACTACTGACGGTTGTATAAAAATTGGAACTTTTACTTCAAATGAATAATATATTGGGATGATTGCGTGACTATTTTATTCTCCTTCCAGATATGTTGCTTTGAGCAGAGACAGCTTAAAGATCTCCCTAACACAGGGCCTGAGATTTAGCTCAGTGGCTCAAGCGCATGCCTGGTAAGCCTGAGGTTGTGAGTTTGATCCCTGGTATGAAAAAAAAAAAAAAAAAAAACCTCTCCCCAACACATTGTTACCATGTTACTGTATGCTGTGAATGCAACAGATGGGTTAAAGAACAGATTTAAACCACAGTCATGTATTTTCTTTGGTTTATACATATTTAGGTTAGACACAACATGATTTGGAATATTTTCTTTTGTAGTTTAATTTCCTTTGTGATTATGTCTTTTATTTAATGGGGGTGTAAAAATGTCCCAAGGACTGAAAACAAATTGAAGTTCATTAATAGAGGTACCCTGTTAGTTTTCCTTGGGGTGGAGATTAAGTATTCAGAATCATTTTGCATAAAAGCATGCAACAGTGAGACTGACATTTTCCTGACACAACATGGGGACCACATTCACACGCCATTTTTCACGCTCCCTTGTGTGCAAGCCTCATTACAAACTAGAAAGGGGAAAATGTGGGCTCCACAATGATTCTGAGGGTATCTCAGGTCCATGCCTCTCTGGAGAGGCCTAGAAATTGCCTACTTCCAGCATCACCCTGCAGCTATGAGCGCCTCCCCGGAGGTGTAGAGGGACCCCTGGATCCAAGAAGAAAGAAAAGCAAACTCAGAGTCAGAGCTGAGCCTGCAACTGCTGTGTGCTTAGCATTGTGCAAAGGGTGGTGTGTCTCCATCTCTGACCTGAGAGTTGAAGCTACAAAGCAGTCTCCATTCCAGATTTACCACCCGGACCTGCAGTGTGTGTGTGTGCCTCTGGTCTTTTATTCACCTCACACCCTGCCAGCAATCACGTCCATTTTAATGGCATGGATAATTCTCAGTGTAGGTGTTGAAATGTTTGCTTTGTGAGGCAAATTTTTAAAGCATTCACTTATCTGTTTGTTTAATAAGTAGCAGAAGTACATTTTCTTGTTCTTGGACTTTATGAACACAATATATTCATCAAATCCTTAAAGTGCATCCCTAACCGAATATTCTTTGATTTTACCCAGCAGTTACCATAACCTTCACACCTGGATAAATTTAGAGTTCTTTTGAACTACATGAAATCACTGAGAGCCTAAGTTATTGTACAGCTGTTAACAGTTTTAACAAGTTTGTGGAATTGCCCAGGGGATGAAAATATGGTCCATTTCTGGACCTTAAAAATAAATAAAATTCATTACATTGGGAACCACAGTTTAATTTTTATAAAGAGAAGGCCGGTTTACTTTCATAAGATTAGCATTTCAGTTAACTTTAAAACAAAGAATTTGCACTTACCTTAAATTAAAATAAAGAATTCTTTAAGAAATAGATTCATCCAAAATTAGAAATGATTTTCTTCTTATTCATATTCTCATTACAGATGGAGACTATGTTTGGAACTGACATGAAAAATGTTTTTCTGAAAACTTTTATTATTCAAATCACAAAGTTCAATTCTTCTGCGCTATGAAAAGTCAATGTTACATTACATTAATAGAAATATATCCAGGTAATTTTAAAAAGCCCTTGTTTTTTTTTAAAGAAGACACAAATTATTAAGAAAAGACAATTAATATTATTCTGAAATACACAAAATTATTAAATAAACTTACATACTTAAGGGGTGCTTTAATTTTTATTAATGAAATTTGTTTTATTTTTTTCACTAAGGTTATAATCCCTAATTTACTGAATTTGCAACAATGTGCTTTAGTGTGTAAACATAACTGTGCACAAACATAATTATGCAGATTCAGTTTACAAAGTGTAAGGTTAACAATATTGATTTTAATAAAAATATTCCCAAATAAATTTTTATTTGCCTTTAAAAAAATGGAACATATGTTTCAACTACTAACAAGGGTCTGGTAATCGTTCATACAAATGAAAAAATGTATGTTTTCCATACAAGCCTAAGTTGTTCCACAAACATCTGGTAACGAAACTGTGCAAGCTGCTAGATTCCAAGCCAGCCCAGGTGTTCCTGCAACATCTCCGAGCTCAGCGACTGCCTGCAGGGATATGTTGCAACTTGTATGGGCATTTTTACTGTTGAGATGAGGCACAGGGTGATGACATCATGCGCTCATGTTATGAAGGTGCTGTGAATTCAGTGTGAAAATCCCATCAATGAGTGATTGTTTTTGAAACGACTACCTTGGTGGCCATCACATTTTGCCAACTGAAACATCTGGGCGCGAAGTTAGCAGTGGCTCACCTTGTAAATAACTTAATTGAAATTAATTGCCAGAAGTTTGCAGCACTCTAGGTAGTTTATAAGTGCCATTTCTTACTCTACTGCAGTGTTTCGGGCTTTTGAATTTTGTGTTCTCAGACTTTCTTGCAGCTGCCTGTGAAAAAAGTAAAAAATGTAGAAAATGTATAATGAAAAGGCAGTAATTTAAGAGAAAAATATAAGGAAGAAAAAAATCTGCCTTCTATACTTTCACTGATAAAATATTCTTCTTAAAACAAATAATTCCTAGACTGATATGCAAAGTATTTTTTAAAAAGATGATTGAAATGCTAGATATAGTGTTTCTCCAGAAAGCAATATCTAGAATTTGCCTATTAAGTATCAAAACCTAATGTGTTCATAAAATCATTGGCTAGGGAGAGCCGCAGGAGATGCAAGGACCCTCACAAAAGACAAAACCACGAGCTGCTTTTTCGGGATTGGGACAGGGTGGAGAGTGGACTGGTCACTGTATCAGGAAAGCATTGGAGGACCTTTGGTGCAGGGAATGGAGACTGCGTGCGTGGACAGTATTGGGAGAGGATTGGAGGACCTTTGGTGCATGAAACAGAAGAGCAAACTTTTATTTTGGAACTAGAAAAAGAACACGAAAGTTAGTGTGGGAGAGATACACTGTTGTTTTGGGGTCTAGAGCCATGTTAAGCAGGTACACACTGAACTTGGGCATCCCATAGGAGTGGAGCCTGTCAAAAACCATGTGTTTCAAGATAACAAGAGGCTGTTCCATAGAAAAATATAGGAGTTTGATTAGGAAACATTGGTCTTATTTTTCTATACAAATTTCTAAGCATTTAGAATAAATTCTTACCTGGTCTCTTCATACTTTATAAATCCCCCCCCCCCCCAAAAGAAGGTAACCAACAAAACTACAGTGGTGATGTGGAATGCACACAAATGAATTGGTATATGACCTGTACATCACTGACAGACTTTTAGAAAATGTTCAGGATATATCAATATCAGGAAATTATTTCTTTTCTTCTTAGCTCCCTTTACTTTTGAATTTTTGTTTCTTAAGATAAGGTTTTGCAAATGTGAACATGTTTAAAGGTATTAAGTGTTGATATTTTAAAACTGATACAAGATCCTGAAAACCAATTCATATCGGGGTTTATATTTTCCTTAAAACTATTACAAGTTATATTGAGAAGGGAAAAACTTGTATTTTGGAACTAGAGAAAGAACACGGAAGTTAAGTGTAGTAGAGATACACTGTTGTTTTGGGGTCTAGTGCTATAACCTTCCACGGTGCCCTCAATATTTCTGAAGATTTTATAAAAATTTCTATTTTAAAAATGACTTATTTTATTCTATCTGCTTAATATGATCCATATGATGAACTTATTTCAGTTATCTGAATAACTCCTGGGGTGAAATAATATTGGTTTTTGTTTTATTGCCAACCCCCTTTCATATTTCTTAACTTTGTGCTTTCATATTTGCTCCAATTATATCTATACTTTCTAGTATCTAAAACTACCGGTCGGTTTACTTTCATCTCAAGTAATTGCACCTCTAAAAGTTTAGTCTTCCTAGAGCTGTGGCATGTTTCATGTCTACTTTTTCTCTTGTAGGTCATGATCATAACAATAGCATGTTATACCAATGATTTGCTTTTTTTTTTTTATAAGAGACACTTATGCTTGCAAATGAGCTTCTGATACAACAATATACCAAATACAATGGTTAGGATCACTCTTTTAAAAAAAGGACTTGACATCTTTTTCTGAACAGAAAAAGAAATTGCATTTTCACATCCATCCATGAAAGTATCATTGGTATTTTGTCATCACAGACACACTGTTCACCCAGAATGAGTGAAATGTTCCATTCCAGTGTCAGAAAAGGGTTGCATTTAATTTTTGCTTTTGTTAGGGACATGCATGAAGAGTGTGGGCAAAGAGGATGTTTTCACTTATGTTTTTAATCTTGAACATTTGAATCCCTTGGGGGATTTCCTTGGGGATAATATTTTAGTAGTATCATATGAAATTAAACACAATGGAGACTATGTAGAAGAAGGGCAGACAATTAACGGAGCCTTATGAAATCAATGACAGTTAATTTTAAATCAGATTTCTGCTCAGCTGTTTTTCACTACATATGAAACACATTATCCAATAAAAGTATATGAATAATCTGGAGTTATATAGAGAGCTAATGATTTTAGGATATATCTTTATGATTTAAGATACGAAGTAAGTTCTTAAGAATTTTTCTCCTTTATTTCCTCTTAAGTTTAATTCATTCATCCAAAATGAATATTTTGAAAAGTTCTCTACTTTTCTCCTTCAATCCACAAAGAAATAAGCCACTGTGTTTGTTATTAGTAATAACTAACTCTCAAATTTACCCTCTCTGAATTCCAGTAACATAGGTCCAACTCAGACCTTCACATTTTTATTCCCCTAAAATATTTTTATAACCCCCAAACAGGCTTCCCACCTCTGCTTTGAACATTTGTCTTACTTGTTTTTCACACTGATGGTAGAGTTCTCACACTGCTATCAATGCTGTTTATGTCACCACTCAAAAGAAATTTCCTGGTAGAATGGCAACATAGGCCTCCGCCAACTTCTCTGCTAGCATCTTCCTATTGAAGTGTAAAAATGCCCTCATCCCAACTTTAGCCCTGGACCTTATTAAAAGGTACTATTACCTGAAATAATGTTCAGGTGATTTCTATTGAGAAATTTAAGAGACCTTGATCTTAGGAAATAAGAAGGGCAAGATCAGAGGCAAATCTATAAATTGAGATAAAGGGAATTTATAGTTGGTGATGTTATGCACTTAAAATATTCTGAAATGTGTTATCAAATTATCCTATAAAATGATTTTATAGATTTATGTTTACCAACAGTAACTGAAAAATCAAATTGCTTCATATCTAATCTCAGTTAGCTGTCATAATCTTTTTTTTTTTTTTTGTCTTTTTTTCATTTTTATCCGTACCAGGGATCAAACTCACGAGGTGCCTGCTTGCAAGGCAGGCGCTTATGCCGCTGAGCTAAATCCCCAGCCACTCATAAATCTTGTTTATCTTTGTGCTCTTACCTGCTTTAAAGCCTCTCTATTAAGAGTTGATAGTTTATATCTGAGTTTTTTTACATTTGCATTGTTTGCATTTATAATGTCAAAAATATTTATGGAAATTAAATATTTAAAATTAAAATATTAAGACTACCAGTTCTGGTTAGAATTTGCCTAAAAGAAGTACTCACATGGACACAGGGGAAGGAGAGGCCACTGGTATCTGGAGATACTTGCAAACTGCCAAATGAGTAAACATGTGATTCACAGGGGCTTTCATGGGAGTTCTTGAGAACACCTGCTAGGGTGTTTTAGCCTGAGCTACCGAGCTATAAACTTCCTGACCTTTGTTTCTGAAGCAGTTCCAACAGCTATGTATGCTTATAATTATTACTATAATAAATTCTTTGTATCCTGATTACATGGAGTAGATATTGTTTTCCTGGCTGATCCCTGAATGGTACAATACTTAATTTATGTTTACTAAAATTCAACATCCTTAATCAAAAATAAAACCCATAACAAATGAAGAACATATACCATTAAAATATGATAATATCATTTTTATTGGGTTTTAACAAGATTAATGGTTAAACATTACAAGCCTTTGAACAATATCTCTATTATTTACTGTCCATGAACAAGGATAAAAAATAGGAGAAAACAGCATTGCTAGATGTGATTTATTAACACTATAAAACACAAATGAATTGAAGTCAGCATATATATATATATATACATATATATACATGCATATATAATTTTCCTGTGTAGATAGCCAGTTAGAAAAGGTGGTAGAAAATTTTTATGACAGCAATATACATATACATATCTGTGTCTCATGATCAAATTTAGCAACAAATACCTAGGAATTAAGAGAGACAATTCTTTGAATAAATACAGGAACATATGTCATTCTTGGATGTTGAAGATTTAATATGGGGAAGTACTGAGTTCCCTAAAGTTAATTTATATATTTAGTATGATGCAAGACAAAAATCTCTTAAACATTTATAACACTATCTTGAAAAAAAATCCCAAACAAGATTAAATTTTAATGAGAAAAATTAAAAACAATTCAATAGTAAATATTAATGTACAAAATCACAATAATCAAGTTTCAAATGGTAACAAAGAGACAACTAGATTAATAAAAGTAAAATTTCAAATGCACACAGAAATTAGTAAACATAGAAAAGCATTATAAAAGCAAGGTTGGATTTAAATTTTTCCCTTTTCCTTTTCTTTCTTTTATTGATTTTCTGCACTGCAGTAGCAAATTCCACTGGCTGAATTTCAGTTTTTTAAATATACAAGTCACTCCCATCTTTCCTCTCACTAATTGCTTAAAATTTGACATCATGAAATATCAAAAGTAAAATGTTCACTCACTCATACAATAAGTGAACTTTTAAATTACAAAAAAGCTTTCTTTTTAATCTTAAAGACACATTGGAGATTGGAAGAATTAATTTTGTCATAATACCTAAAGCCATTTACAGGTTCAGTGTAATCCTTATTGAAATCCTAACAATTTTTGTTTGTTTGAAAAACTAGAAAAACCCATCCTAATGTTCAAGTGGAGTCTCAAAGCACTGCAAATAACTGAAACAATCTTGAAAATAAAGAGTAAATTTGGAGGTCTCACACTTTCAGATTTCAAAACTGGGATACTGCCATCAAGATGGACATACAGACCACTGACAGGAACAGAAATCCCAGAAATAAATCCTTGAATATATAGTCAAATGATTTTTCAACAAAGATGACAAAACCATTCAATGGGAAAAATGACTTTTTCAACAAATGGTGTTAGAAAAATCAAATTTCCACATGCTAAACAGTGAAAATGGAATCTGACCTTATCATTATGTATGCAAATTAACTCAACATGATTAAAAAGTCATGTAAGAGCTAAAACTGTGTAACTCTTAGAAGGTCATAGGGAAAATCTTGATGACATTGAAAGTAGCAATAACATCTTGGGTATGACACCAAAAGCACAGGCATAAAAAGAGATTAAAAACTGTATCAAAAGATGAGAGGATGAAAAGGCAATCTTTG